TGGACCACCGCAAGCTGAGTGGGAGGTTATGTAACTATCTGGAATTACTGCCATGAGGCATGAACGATACCCGAAGGGAAACATGCCTAGTCCAAGGAGAAGATAGTGCTGTTTCTACCACCGGTACACCCACACACCACCAATCCACCTAGAGGGGCTCTAAGAAGCTGCCGGCTCTTACCCTCCCTTCTCATCTCCCTGAGGTGCTAGTGCTAGGACAGGCCTCACACACATCCTTGAGGTGCTCATCCCAGGGTGTGGGTTTAGATAGCAAGGGGCTGTGGGGGTGTGCTGTGGGAAGAACCTAAAACTTGGAAATAACAGACCTAGATTTGAATCCAGGCTCTGCTGCTTCCTAACTACATGCCCTCCTACAAAATGGGGATAACAGCCAAAATGGGGATTACAGGGGTTGCTGTCAAGATGAAAGGCAATGAAGATAAAGGGGCTCATCATGTTACAATGATGCACTCTAGAGAGAGATTCCACCAGGGCAGGCCTGGGAGGCTGTATGAAGCCTTCCAAACAGTTCTCAAACATTTTTATGTGGGAATTGCCTTGCATGAAAGAGGGTGTAAATGTTCTTCATAGTTGAGTACTGTGCAACCTGTGGAAGGCACACACTAAAACAAACAAATGCATTCTCCATTGCCACAGGAACAGAGGCCAGTCCCCAAGGCCAGCAACCCTGGGTTTGGAGGCAGCTCAGTCACTTACTATCATGTGACCACAGGCAAGTCAGGGAACATATCTTGTTTCCACATGGGTAAAATGGAGACAATGGTATTCACCTTGAAGGGTTGTTGCAAGAATTTAACTAATATATAGAATGAAAATTCCTACCAGTGTCTGACACTCAGAAGGTTCTTCACAGTTTTAGAAAAGTAATTGCTCAAAATGGCCACATGTCATATAAAAACCCTCTTTGCTCGTAGTTTCACATATCACTACACAGTTTGCAATCTGGAATCTAAGGCTCTTTTTTTTTATCCTCACCCAAGGACATTTTTGCATTTATCTTCAGATAGAGCGGGAGGGAGAGAGGGGGGAAGAGAGAGAAAAACATCGATGTGAGAGAGACACATTGAGTGGTTGCCACCCACATGACCCCAACTCCCAACTGGGGCCGGGGACAAACTGCAACCGAAGTACATGCCCTTAGCTGGAACCAAACCCGGGACTCTCTGATCCGTGGGCTGACGCTCTAACAGCTGTTAGAGTCTAACAGCTGAGCCAAACCGGCCAGGGCTGAAATCTAAGGCTCTTCATACGTGTAAATGAAGTATTGTCTACACTCTCTGGAAATGCCCATGGAGGCCAAGTGCCCAATGACCAGGCATGGACGTTTCCCTCTTATTGGCGTGAACTCCCCGTTAAACCCCTTGGTTTGAGCTGATTCCCACCTCTGTGTCAGAGCACATTCAGTCTCTCCCTTTGGCCGTTTCACTTCTCTCTTAAAGTATGTAGAGTTCTCTCTCTTTAAGTAATTTTTCACTGCCCTGGAAGGCTTGGCTCAGCGGTTAGAGCATCAGCCTGCAGTCCAGAGAGAGACCCGGGTTCGGTTCCCACTAAGGGCATGTACCTTGGTTGCAGTTTGTCCCCGGCACTGGTTGGTCATGCGGGTGGCAGCCACTCGATGTGTCCCTTTCACGTCGATGTTTTTCTCTCCCTTTCACATTGATGTTTTTTTCTCTCTCTCTCTTCCTCTCTCTCCCTCCCACTCTATCTGAACAAAAAATGTCCTCGAGTGACAATAAAAAAAAAATAATTTTTCACCTGCTTAGCTGTTATCAACTCCCATTTTCCACCAAAACCTTTGAAACACATTTGTTTCTTGGGTAACTGGGTCTCCTCATGTCCTTTCTTAATCTCGCAGGAGGCACAATGCCTGTACCCCTGAAACTGCCTCTTCCTGCATAAGCAAATCTTCCTAGTAACTTACATCTCTGGCCCTTTTGGACCCCTCAGCCTTCTGGGCCTCTCCTCCGGGGGTCTCTAAGATGTAGTTTCCTCCTCCCAAATCTTGGCTGCGCTCCCTCCCCTGGCCTGGCTTCTCTTCCTCCTTTCCCTCCACTGCCCCTAACAAGCCAGGTCTGCTCCAAGTGTATCAAGGCCTCGCTGGCTCACACCTGCCACTCCCAGCTGCTCAATTGTCACCAGATGCTAGTTACATTGCTAGCTCCAGATCTCAGCCAACCTCCAGTCCTAAACAGGCAAAACTTGGAGATAGTGGGTTTGGTTTCCGACCAAATGGTAATAAAGCAAGCACTGCAGTAAAGCAAGACGTAATCTTTTTGCTGGTGGAAGGTCTTGCCCTTAGTTTGTAAAAAATGCAACCCCTGAGAAGTGCAATAAAACAAGGCATGCCTGTGCTTCTAGCACCGCCTGGAACGTAGCCCTCAAGAACCTTCACTCCTTAAGACTCAGGGTCTAAGTCTCAAATAATGGAGATCTCACCTGACAGTACCTGTGAACTGAGAGAAGTTACTTAGGTTTACACACTCATCAGAAAACCTAGAAAGTTCTGTGTCAAACAGCCATTCTTTCTCTTTTAAGTATAAAAAAAATGTTTCAGCCCTGGTCAGTGTGTCTCAGTGGTTAGAGTGCATCCCGCACATCGAAGGGTGGTGGATTCAATTCCCAATCAAGGGCATGGACCTGGGTTGCAGGTTTGATCCCCAGCCCCAGTCGGGGCGTGTGCAGGAGGCAACCAATTGACGTCCTTGTCTCTCTTTGTCTCTATCTCTGTCTCTCTCCCCGACTATCTTCCACTCTCTATAAAAAAAATAATAAAATAAATAAATGTTTCTCCTTTTGTTTTCATTCATCTACTAATCCTCAAAATTTAGGAAACATTTAGTAGTTGAAAAATAAGGTAGCCCTGGCCAGTTTGGTTCAGCAGTAGAGCGTAAGTGACTCATTGGTCCGCGGGTTCAATTCCAGCCAAGGGCACATACCTAGGTTGCGATTAGTCCCGGCCCTAGTCTGGGCCGTGTGGGAGGCCGATGTGTCCCTCGCACATCAATGTTTCTCCCTCTCTCCCCTTCCCACTCTATCTAAAGATAAATAGAAAAATATCCTTGGGGGAGGATTAAAATAAAAATATTTAATTAAAAGTAAGGTAAACCATTATTTTCCTGTCTCTAAAGAAACAAACAAAAAAAGATCAGGACTGAATTAGCTGCATAAGTTAATTTCAATATTTTCAGCTCGATCAGCTAAAACAGTATGTTTTTCTATTTTAAATTTCACTTTCAATGCAGTACTTAAAGTGAAAAACACACTTGAATTATTTACATGATTATCATTGAAGAAAAATACCAAGGTCACTTATTTTGGTTTTGTTTAATAAAATAAAAATATCTGTCATTTTAATGGCAATTTTTGTTGTCCTTCCCACTGGATGGCAAAAATACATTCCACCTGCCTTTCATTGACCTGATGATCTGGAGGTGATTCACCCCCCACTGAAGATAGAGAATTTGTTTTACTTAAATTTGGCCAAATACAACAATTAAATCACCATTGGATTTTCCAAGCACTACAATAATTTCAAATAAATTTTTAAATCATTTCAATGAAAAGCATTACTTCCCCAAATGAAAAAATTTATTCATTTCTGAGTTGTCACAAGTAAATATTACAGTTATAATGAACTACAAAATTCTATTCTTGTGTAAAACAAGTGAAATATTCCTAATTAACAAATCTAATTTTATAGAAATCAATTCAAAGTGTATTGCATACTTACATGTCTCTACCACAGTGTAAAACTCTTACTTGGTTCTGAATTCACTGACTGCTAACCATTGACTGCGAGGTCTGCATCTTGCCAACCAGAGATGCAGATAGTGTGATGGCTCTGCACCCCTCCAACCATCTGCCCAGCTCAATGTGACAGCGAGATCCCACTTCAGCCTGTTTGTGTGGATCTCTTCTAAATTGTTACCTGACAGGGATTATCCCTTTTCTGTTTGCACTTCCCACAGCAGCCCGTGGGGGGTGATTTAGGTACCACTTGCACCTCACATGCCTGAAGGTTCACCTGTCTTCTGGAATGAGGTTTTCTGGAGTACAAGTTTCAATCTGCCCCTTTGCTTTGGCAAAGACAAATCTGCCCACTGGCTATTATTCTTTGCTGTAATGACAACTGTGCTCTAAGACAAACAACTTATTCTTAGGGGAAACAATTAATTTCAACCATCACATGTGCTCCCCAACAGCCATTTGTTCACATGGGCTCATCCTCTGATATCTGACTTTCGCAGAAACACAAAGACTTACCGATGACCACTGAGTGGGAAGTATTTAACGGAATCTGTACTCTATTGCATTGCTTCCTCTTTTTGTTTTTTCAAGATGGTGAAATCTTTATAAGCAAAAAGATGATTAATTCTTCCCCTTGTCTTTAAGAACCATTCTCTCACGACAAACTCTTAGCCAATTCCCAAATCTAACTCGAAAACAAACAAAAAAGCCGAGGACACACTTTTAAGCAAGTTATTCCTGGATTTAGAGATCTACAGCACTGGAAGAGGTCAGTTTTATGGAGACGTTTGAGCAAAACTCTTTTAGGACACTCAGCTAACCCTACTTTTAAACATTTTTAGTAGTATACATTTGGAACTTTCTGTATGCCCCAGAACACACAATATGGATCTAATTAGGTCCAGTTGCCTTATGTTAGTAATAAAATTGAGAGAGAGAAGAGAGAGAGAGAGAGAGAGAGGTGGGGGTGGGGGCTTTGTTCATCCCCTCCTGTGCCCTGGTGATCACAAACAAGTCGTGCGCATCCTCAACGCTCACTCTGGGCAACACATGCTTCTTAAATACCCCGGCGTGCCCGGGACCCCGCTCAGGGCTCAAACTTTTCAGCTGCGGAGTTTTCACCCGCTCTGGAAGAGATTTACTGACGGCCTGGAGCCCAACACTTGTACCCCACCCCACCGTCCCGGCCCGGCCCCCGCGCACCCCGCCCGCTCCTCGGTTCCAGTACTTACACTAGGGCGGACGGGCAGGGCATCTGGTTCCAGGCACAGTTGTACTGAGCCTGAATAAAACTCTCACTTCCCTCCAGCACAGAGCAGCTCACATTCTTGTTCACGATGTAGGCGCACCAGTTCCTGAGTGAAGGAGAGAGAGGGAGAGGGGCACCGTGTAAACCCCCGAGAACAATGAGGGTGGGGGAGACGGGACAAGCTGATACGGCCGCAGACGGAGGCAGGGTCAGGGAGGTCGTGGTCCCTGCGGAGGCGGGAGCTCAACAAAGCCGACCTCCGGAAGGTGCGCGGTGCGCCTTTGCAGAGCCGACACCTTTTCCCTACAAAAGACAAGGAAAAGCACCCCTGTCCCAGGGCCTCCAGTAATTCCTGGGTGGAATTTTCTGATCGCTTTGCTCTGCGGGATGCTACCGTGCACCACGGCACAGGAGGCAGCATTACTTGAGGCGCTGGCGAGATCACCTGGGACCCCGCGCGGACCGTGGAGTGCACCGCCACCCGGGAGGAGGCGCCCTCCAGGGGCAGCCCGAGGAGGACCCCCGGCTGCAACCCATCACCTGTGACAGGGCACTTTCGGGCCCGGCCGCGGGTCTGGAGGGTGGAGGCAGGGGCCCAGGACCCTGGGAAGGAGCCTCGCCGTCCCGAAGGCGAGGAGAGGGGCCCCACACTTACTTGTTCCTGGCACTGGGCCGCGCGGGTTGCCTGGGCTGCGGGCCGGCTTGGCACGGCCCCGCAACGCCCAGGGCCAGCAGAGCCAGCGCCCAGCGCCAGGAAGTGCGGGGCCGAGGCCGTGTCCGAGGCCACATTCTGCGCGCCGGGCGGGATCCGGAGCGCGGCGAGTCGCGGCAAGCGCACGAGGGTGCGGGCGGCTGGGGCGCGGCCGGAGAAGTCAGGAGGCTCCGGCGCTTCGAGGCGCCCCTACCACGCTCCGCGCCCGCCCCCTCCGGCTTCTCGCTACCACTTCTTCTTTTCCACTCCGTGGGCGCGCGTTTCTCCTCGGTCCCTCAATGACGCACAGGTCCCCCCGGGTGCCGCCCTCTTTATTTCACTTCCCTCTCCGAAACGTGACTCTCTCTCCACCACGACTCCCTGTCTCCAGTCCCCTTGCCTCTCAGCAGGGGGTTTGGGGTGAAAGGGCTAAAGGGTTTGGGAGAAGGGTCTATGTTACAGAATTTCCAATTACTCATTCCTTTGGTCTCTTCCCAGAAACCAGGCAACTCCGCCTCCCACCTTCCAACAGGCGCGCCCCTGGCCCCTGGGGAAGTGGCCGCAGCCGGCGAGTCGCAGTCCTCACGTCGTGCTTGGGTGCCGGCCTCCCAGGGTGAAAGAGGGACATCTTTGTCAGTCCTTTATCAGACGCGACTCGGATTTCCTCTTCTGGCAAGACGCGGCCATTCACCCACGTTTAGATTTAGGAGAGTTTAGGGGGAAATGAACGCGGATCCTCTTCTTCACCCAACTCTGCCTCCTCCATCCATTTAACAGTTTCCAAGTCAACGTGTGGGGCAGCAAGGGACAGTGGAAGCCACAGCCCCACCACTTCCCACAGCTTCTGAGGCGCAGCCCCAGGTTCTAATATGCTCTGCATTAATCTTTGAAAGGCAATCTCAGTGTCTGCTGCTGATGTCCTCCTCTGAACTTTCTTTTTCTATCAAGATTAAAGCCATCTACTCCACAACAGTGGCTTTGCTTCTCAGCAGTTCAGACACTGCTAGCCATTTGTCTTTTCGCATCTCTTGCATATTTTCTGCCTGTTCGTTAGTTAAACTCATCTCTACCAATTTCTTTTGGGGAGGAAGCAACTCCACAGAATAATGTTACATAAAGTCCAGACCAGAGCGTTCCTATATTTGAGTTTACCTGCTGCATCTAATGAACACTAGAGTGAGGTTATTTACATAGGTTAACTGTAATAACTGCGCTAACAGGACACTGTTGGCTGTGAATTATGTGGACAATAATAAGTCTTTGCTGTGTTCCCTAATCTACTAAATGAAGCCATTGGTCCATTTTATTTCTAGTATGCTTTGATGAGGGATGTTGGGCCTTTTGATTTGCAAATGAAAGAAAGTTCCCTAAGTAGAAACTTTGTAAGATCCAAGCAGAAAATTATACCATGTAAGGACATAGTCTGTCCATGAACTCTCTAAATGGCAGATCATGCCAATAATGGACTGAAGTCATCCCAGCCTTCAAAAGAGCCACCCTGAGGGGAAAATAACAAAAAGGGATAAGAAACTGCGTTGCATAACCAATCTATCTTTCTGTGTGACTTAACTATCCTCCCCATCCTAACACCATTTTTGTTCACAAAGTGTCATGGGGAAGAAACAGATACCAGAGATAAAGGAGAGTAACAGAAGGAAAAAATGGAGGAAACACGGGTGTGTGTATAATCTAAAACTAACAAATCACAACTTCTCTTCAATACAGGTAATTCCCAAACTTGAGAGTGAACTTGAACTGATTATGCTAATTCTGTTTTCTTCCACTGAATCAAAGTTATACTAGGAAGCTATATTCTAGTCCCAGAGTTTGAGGACCAACTTCTCATTGAGATGACCACAGTGCTATACTTAATCAGCTATAAATGGCATCTATCAGTAAATAAATTTTATTCTGAGCATCTGTTCCATGCTAGGCATTGTGCAAAAATACTGGGATTCGCCCACACTGACATGGGCTCTGTGTTTACAGAGCTTCAGGGCACTTCTATGCCGTGGAGGGTAGGTATAAGGTTTCTGATGTATAGTCAATTGAGATAATATTTGTCACAGGTGTTTCTTTTTAAAAATTTTTTTTCTTTATTGATTTGAGAGAGAGAGGAAGGGAGAGGGAGAGACAGATAGAAACATCGATGAGAAAGAACATTGATTGGCCACTTCCTGCATGCCCCCCACTGGGGTTTGGGCCCCCAATCTGGGCATGTGCCCTGACCAGGAATTGCACCGGCGACCTCTTGGTGCATGGATCAACGCTCAACTACCAAACCACACCAGCCAGGCATGTCACGTGTTTCTCTAGACATAAGCCCATGTGTACCCAGTGTGGGGCTGCTCTGGGAAGATAGAAGAAGACACTTGGATCTCAGGAAGACTCGAGGCCAAGACCCCAAGAGACTCTCTTCACTTCCTCTTCTCTAGCCAGAGGAAGGGACACATCAGATTCCAGAACTAGAGAGCCCTCCAGGAGCTTCCTGAGGATAGAGAGCTTAAGCACATTAGGAAACAGACTAATTTGGGCAGGTCATCTGGTCCCAGCCATAAGCAATACTGTGGACATAATTGGCAGAATGCTGGAAGTGTGAATTCTTTATAAGCTGCCAACTACCGTAAGCACTTGAAAACTCAGTTTCTTAAAGGAATTTCTTCTGCTTTTAAATATAAAGTGCCCCATAGTGACCTACACTCTTGATTGTGTGACCAACACAGTAAAGCAAAAATGCAAAGTAGAACTACTCCATAACATCCATTCCCTCACTGTTGGTCATAAAAGATGCTCATTGGCTCTTTACTTGGGGTACTTCTTATGAAGCAGTGAGCCTGCTGGGCCCCAGGACACCCAATTAGATGGATGGGTGAGCATTACAGAGACAGCAGGTGGGTCCATATCCCCCAGCACCATGCTCAGTCATTTGGGCACTAGACCTTTGATCAAGAAGAACTGATTTTGCATCTAGGATGTGCTCCAGTGTCCTAAGACTAGCCTGGGTGTCCCACCTTTCTTTTTCCTCATCTTTGCACTGACAATGTAAGAAATGTCCAAACCTGTAGAGAAGTTTTATGAGTTTATTTGAGCCAAACTGATGACAATTGCTGGGAAGCAGAATCTCAACAGATTGAGAAAATGCTCTGGAGAATGGCAGTGACCAGTATTATCTCACTCAACTGACTGTATATCAGAGACTTTATACCTTTCACTGTAAAAGAGTGCCCGGAAGCTCTGTGAACATAGAATCCATGTCAGTTTGGGTGAACCCTCAGTATTTTTGCAGTTCATTTTATACAGTACAATCAAAGGAGGAGGCAGAAGGAGGGTTACATGAAATCCACTGGTGGTAGATTACGGCAGGTGGAGAAAGCAAAGCAGGCAAGTCTCTGGGATTGGATAAAAAGTAAAATGGAGAGCCCGGCTGGTGTGGCTCAGTGGTTGAGCATCGATCCCTGAACCAAGGGGTTGCCGGTTCGGTTCTTGGTCTGGGCACATGCCCACATTGTGGGCCAAATTCCCAGTGGGAGGCATGCAGGAGGCGGCGAATCAATGTTCTCTCTCATTGACGTTTCTATCTCTCTTTCACTCTCTCTCTCTGAAATCAATAAAGGAAAAAATACGTGTTGGAACTTTGAATTAACTTCCAGATGACTATTTCCAGGATTATCAAAAGGGAATAGTCCGTGCCACCACACTCTGGAGCCTCCACTTCTTGCTCAACGCTTGAACTTTCCGGACTGTGGCCCATCACCAACCCACAGAAGTGGACACTTGCTCCTTAGGGACTCTGCACCTATCCCTGGACTAGCCCTGTTTCGTCTTCTCTCACCTCTTTATCTGTAGCCAGTATAAACTATTTCAAAACTTATCTCTTTCTTCCCCAAACTGTTTCCTTAAAGAGCCTGTCAACTCCAGGACAATAGTCATTTGCTTTTCCTACCCAGCCCTGCGGCTGGTGGTTCACACTGCATGTCCCAGGACCTGCTAGTGTGGACAAAAAAGTTCTGTAGTTTATCTCTTCCCTCCCCCCACAAACCCCTCTTCTGAGGTTTGTCAGTCTGTACCCTACTTCTGTCTCTGGGTCTATTTTGTTCACTATATTCCACAAATAAGTGAGACCATGTGATATTTGTCTTTCTCTGCTTGGCTTGTTTTGCTTAGGATAATACTTTCCAGGTCCCTCCATGTCGTCTCAAAGGATAAGAGATCTTTCTTTCTTACAGCTGCATAGTATTCCATTGTGTACATGTACCACAGCGTTTTTATCCACTCATCTACTGATGGACACTTGGGTTGTTTCCAGATCTTAGCTATTGTAAATAGTGCTGCTATGAACATGGGGGTACATATATTTTTTCTGATTGGTGTTTCAGGCTTCTTAAGGTATATTCCTAGAAGTGGGATCACTGGGTCAAATGGCAGTTTTAACTTTTTGAGGTAACATATGGTCATTATTTTAATCATCTTTGTTGAGAGATGCCAAGAGTAATTTCCCTATATTGACCACATACTCAACCTGACAAGCTCAGGAGAGGCCTACATGGTGGGCCTTACAAACTCAGAGACTGAAAGTAACCACATAGGATACTCTGGACATAAAAATTACTAACTAAAAGCAAGTTATGGAGGGTAGTCACATCTTAGACTTATAGCTTCCTTGATAAAGGTCATCTTTACTTGAGTGAGCCTGTCTATTGTCCTTTTGCATCTAAGATAACATGCCTTGGAAATGTCAGAATAATCTCCTTCTTCAGATCTCTCAGGGCACACCCACCCAGAAACCCTCATTGTTATCTTGTTCCCTGAATACCACTCTCTGTGCTAGAAGTGCTGCTAACTATCTTGTACCCACCAATGTGAAAGAAATATGTGTCTCTTGACTTTATTCTTTATCTAATTTTAGAGATTTCCCCACTTTGCTTTCTCCCACCTATCTAGTGTACCACCAATGAATCTCATGTCCCCATAAGTCCTCTCCTTTGACTGTAATGTATAAAATAAGCTGCAGCCCTGGCCGGTTTGGCTCAGCGGTTAGAGCGTCCGCCTGCGGTCCGGAGAGACCCGGGTTCGGTTCCCGCTAAGGGCACGTACCTCG